GAGCTGCCTCATAATGGATCCCTCAGCACAAATAAATAACAAGTAGGCACCTTCCTCTGCACCCAGCCCCTCTGGTGTGGTTGTCTCCTGGGCAGGGAAATCATTATTTTAACAGTCCTTTGGGAAAATATTTTCTCATCTCTTTTCTCTCTCTTTCTTTCTCCCACTCCCTTTTCCTCTTTCTCTCCCTCTCTTTCTTGGCAGGACTGGGAATGGAACTCAGGGCCTCACATCCAGCTACCCCAACTGCCAGTACATTTTATTTTTTATTTTGAGTCTAAGTCGCACTCAGTTGCCTGTCCTCACACTTACGGTACTCTTGCCTCAGCCTTCGGAGTAGCTGGGATCACAAATGGCTGTCATCACTCTTGGCAGCTTTTTCTTATTGCAGCACAGTCAAATCTATGCTTTAGAGACAGATTTAAGACTTGATATACTTTTTTTTTTTCTTTACAAAAAGCCCATTCTGTAACTTTCCACTGACTGAGATCTCAAGGCAGCATTCCGCCACCTGGGGATGGGGCCTCTGTACTCAAGCTCTGGCTGGGAGCATGGGCAGCCAGGCCCTTTTTTCCTTTTTTTTTTTTTTTTGCTCTTTTTTTTTTTTTTTTTTTTTTTTTGGCGGACCAGGAATTGAACTCAGGCCCTTGCGCTTGCCAGGGAAGTGCTTATTCTACTGAGCCATCTCCCTGGCCCCTCCTTTCTTCCTAATGGCAGAGGATTGGTGGTACCAATGTAGTCAAAGAGAAAAACATGATCCAGGCTCCTTATAATTAGGAATGAACATGTGACAAGAGCTAGCCAAGGAATGAGCAATTATTGGGGAAGTTCCTTAAAAAACGGTGATGCCCCAGCTTGCAGGTGTTCCCTGACCTTCCTTTTTTATTCTTCCAGCCGAGAACAAGCATGTGATAGCTGCCATAGAGGTGGTCACATTATAACTCTGAGGTAACCTTGAATATGAAAGCCAAAAGTTGAGGTGACAGGAGCAGCTTTTATATGAGACAGGCATACACAATCTCCTTTGGAGTTTTTAATGATACAGAAAAACCAAATCTTTCTTGTTTAATTGGTGGTTTTCTTTATAATTTATAGCCAAACACATTTCCTAACTGAAACTCTCTCTCTTTCTCTCTGTTTCTCTCTCTCTCTGTTTCTGTCTCTGTCTCTCTCCGTTTCTCTCTCTCTCTCTCTCTCTCTCT